GAAGTACTAAAATCCTATAGTCATCCCAATGACACCAAGCAGAATTTCAAGAATGTATTAAAATATGGCATAGACTAAGACAAGCTTTATGCAGGAGAAAAGGGGAAGGCATCATAATGGAGGATTCAACAATTTGAACTGATTTCAGATTGTTGAGGTTATGCCAGTTATGAAAGGGAGATCATATTTTTTTTTCTTGAACAATTGGATTTGTTTTCCTTTTTAAATTTATTTTTTGGGGTTGTACTGCAATTTTTGTATGTTTTCTGACTCAACATACCAAGGATCATGCTACTAATTTTAGGCAACCATGCCTCTAAAATCCAGTAAAGCAATTTGAGGGATGTCCACTGTCTGTAACAACTAAATTTCATGGACTACATGAAGTTTGATAGTTTTGGGTTGCTCGCCTGTGATGTGGATAATCATCAAAATCACTCAGGTCTAAAACTCCATTTGGGCAATCTCAAGCTAACCTCTTCCTTAGATGTAATTATAAAAATATATGCATTGCCCCCACTCTTGGGAAGAAGGGCAATACATGTTTTAAATATATGAGTTAGTGTGATCACAAATATTCAAAACACCTACAACCTTTAACTGATTTCAATGACTGGTAATAAGAAGAAAATTGAACCATTAAGAGAATTCTACTTGGGGCAGGTTTAAGGCACTGAATACAGTGAGAAAACCTTGTAGAAAATCTAAGCATTCCTCCCTTACCTCTTCATATTAATACCCCAGATCATCAAATTGGACAGGATTTTGATACATCCAACCCTGAGCAATCTTGGGATATTTTACCACCCTTGCACAGGCAAGAGGTAGCGTATACGGTCAAGTTTTTAAAGCCTTCTGAAAAGTCAATATGGTTTGAGCTATTCTAATATCTGAAGGGAGAAGATTCTACAAAACAGGGGCTACAGCAGAGCAGGTCCATCTTCTAGTCCCCACCAGCTGACACTGTATGCCTAGTCTGATGGACTGAATTGCACAGGTAGATATTCTTGGAAAAAGACAGTCCCTTAGGGCAGAGGTCACCAACCTTTTCGGCACCAGATGCTGGTTCCATGGAGAGAGGTTTTTCCATGGACCCGACGGGGTGTGATTTCATGTACTGCCTACACCCCGCAGATGGGGCTTTGCTTGTTTGTGCAGACTGGTTTCTGGCATGCCGCGGCCCAGTGCCCCTGGCCTTCGGTAACTCATGTTTGCCATTATAAAAGTTAAAGAAAATTTGGGGATTCCCCCAAATTATTTAGGGATGTCACAGATGTCCCATGGTCTGCAAGTTCTGTATTGCTGACCTCTGGTATAAAATACATTTTCTACTGCCTAGATCAGTGTTTCTCAGCCTTGACAATTTTAAGGCATGTGGACTTCAACTCCCAGAATTACACAGCCAGCATTGCTGGCTGTGGAATTCTGGGAGTTGAAGTCCACATGCCTTAAAATTGTCAAGGTTGAGAAACACTGGCCTAGATCTTACGTTAGAAAGTACAGTGTCTTATGATATTACATTGTTGTTTGTATGTACACAGAGAGCTTATACACCAAAGACAAATTCTTTGTGTGTCCAGTCACACTTGGCCAATAAAGAATAGTCCATGTTCTATTTTTTCAAATGATTCCCCACTGCAAAATTCTGAATTTTATTTTTCTTTATCTCAAAATGTCCCAGATATTAGTCAAAGTGATAAAAAGCTCATATGCTCTGTTACTCCCAACTTTTCCAATATATTTGTCAGATTGGGAGAAAACAGTTTCTGAACAAAATATTTTTAACAATCAGTTAGAAGGACAGAATTTTTTTTAAGGATATTTAGGATATTATTCAGTATCAGTATAGTGTCTAAAAGATTCTAATTCCTCACTGTATGAAAAAGTTGGAATGATATGGCAAATGACTTAAAATGGCACTGTAGTTTTATTAGCAAATTTTCTTCCTACGGTCCCATTTTTTTAAAAAAAAATTTAAATCCTCTCTTTGGTTTAAAAAAACGTTGCCTGAAGCAACATCAATAAGTAAATATCTATAACAAGTTGTGGCTGATGAATCAGCTTATTAATGGTGAAAGCCCATGTTCTAAATCTCTGAAGTTTTTAAATCCTTCAAAAAGTTCAATGTGAGAATTATGTAATCTCTGAGTTTGAAATAAACGCTCCCCTGAAAATAGAACACCTCTTCCAAACTGAGTTTGAAGCATTGTGTGGACATCCCCAGAATTAAAACTGCACGTTGCAAAATATGGGACATGTTGACATTAGACATTTGCTTCAGTCTTTTATTATTGCTTCTGAGTTTCTGCTTTTGCTGAGAAAGCAGCTCTTCCTTCTTGAACATATGGACATGTGCAAATTACTTAAGAGGTTTATTAAAAAAATGATGTTAAACCTAATATCCTCCAACCCTGCATAAAATCATAAATAGATAACCTTAGTGAAACTTTCCTGCAACCAAGGACAGTCAGTTGATGGAACTTCTCAGATGTTCATGGCTAGGTTGACCTCAGATGTTCCAAGTCAGAGCCTATATTGATCCCAAAACAAGCCCAGTGGTCACCATTTACCAAACCTTTGGAGAAGCCATCAAGAACTAAGCTACTGTTCTCAAGGAATCTCACATAATACCTAATTTCTCATTGCAATAAATAGCAGTCTTTTCATTTCAGCTCTGCTTCACTCACAGAATCTATCCACATTGGCTTCTTTTAGCATCATGTTAAGTCAGGATTTTTCAAATATAGTTTGTTGAGTAAGCCATACTTGCCTCTTTCATATATATTACTTAGTCTATAAGGGGTGAATTTGTACATCATTCTTCGTAAATATAATTTAAAAATAAATAAATTGAACACACACCATGGGGTAACATAATCCATGTGAACTAGCAATAATTAGTTGCTCAACATTGGGAGAAGGGTGGGGATACTGTAATATATATTATTTATCACTATTCAGAAGTTTTAAAACTTTAGTTTTGTCAGGTGCTGCTTAAAGACATTTGGGAATAGAGCAGCATCTAAAACACAATAATAAATATACAAATCAATAAAATAAAATAACATACTGTATGTTCAACATTTCTTCTACTAAGATATGCTTTAGCACAAGTAGACACCTCCTATTTTTACATTCACGGTCGTACTGTTCCCCCCCCCTGCCACCCCCACCCTCCAATTAGATTACAGTGAATCCGACCTCAGGCTACATTATTGAAATACCACTTGAATTAAATCTTAGGAATTTCAGTGAGTCTACTCTGAGTAATGCTATGTCTGGAATTCACTTTATAAATATATACTCACAATATAAAATCTTAATATTTCTTCCCAAAAAGAAAACCATCTTAAAACATAAGCAATATTGTTGTCTTTCTTTAATTTTCAATACATGCCACTAGATGGCGAACCTCTGAGGTTAGATTTCTCAATATTTTATGAAGCATTATACACTGATCATTGTTATTTCCCGATGCCCTTTGGGTAATTCAAAATATGTTTTTGGAGGGTTTTAAGACTGTTGAATATAGTTCTATAGTCTTGGTGGACAATCCTTAGGAAATTGATTTATCAAAAAGCTTGGTGCCTTGTAGCTGCTCACGATTACAATTCCAGTATGGAGCGGAAGACTCTGAATGGATTATGCTATTATCCGTTTGGATGTCTGTAACTGACATTGCATTTCAGAACATCTGGAAAGTACAGGGGAGGGGCACCTGGAATATGCTGTTACTGCGATCCTATTATTATATTTAGTATGGATACAAAAGTACCTGGATGGGTGTCCAAGTAAACCAGACAGGAAACAGGACTAGAAGAATTAATTCTACTTTATTGTAAGGCTACATCAGCAGAATTTTTCAAGTCTGAAAGGACAAACTTCCCACCATCACTTTTAATGGATCCATTAGAGTGGAGCCTTCCTAAGTTTCTGTCTCTGACTGTTAAGCTATTGGGGACTCCTGCTTCTCTTGTCTGAATGTTTCCTACACAGCATCTCATCCACTTGTTCCCCAATATCATCCACACAGTCCATTACAGGGGAACAGATAATGTCAGTGCTTTTTTTCTTAAAAAAAACAAAAAAGTGCCAGAACTCACACATGTCATACAACCTGCCTTGCCTACCCTACAAGGTTCCATCCAAAAAAGGTGCCGGAACTCCGTTCTGGCCATTCTATGACAAAAAAAGCCTTACATAATGTACATTACAAACCATCGTCATGGTTTGTAATGTACTTATTTCTAGAAAGTTCATTATGAATATTCCTGTGTAATTACCTTTACTTACTATTTGATTTGCAGACAAAATTCTTGACCAGGGATGGGACAAAATTCTACTCCAGGTGAATTTTTCAGTGCAGAATTTATGACAGAATAGCCATGGTAACAGAGGTAGCCCTACCCTAGCATCTTCCAGATTGTTACAGTTCATCTTCAATTATCCATAGGTCTTATCCAAACACTAGCAAGCAATGCCCTATATCTTAGCAACTTGCATTTGCAGTGTTCTGTGTGTACATAAAATATGCTTATGACAAAAACATCCCACCAAACTTCAACTGTCCTGCAGCTTTTTGTCTTAGATTTCTCACAACCCCTGTAACCTCATCATAAAGTATTTTTCCAAGAAAAACTGATCAATGGAAATAGGACTGAGGACACATTTAGTTCTTTTTTTCTCTAAAATAAAGAAGGATTCTATGATTTTAAAAAAAATCCCAAGAACTCTATTGATTGTAATCTTGGGGATTTTTCTCTCTCTCAAAAGTGAAACGGGGATTGTTAAACCAAACCCAGGAAGAAGCTTTAGGGCCTTGGAAAAATTAAGATAGTTGTTTTTTTTTTTTTTTTAGGGACATTTAATCAGCCTGACATGGACTGGAAATTGGCTTAAAGTAGTAAAATAACTCTGCATTCACCCAGGATTTTTTTTTTTTTAAAAAAAAAGTTTGCTTTCATAACAGTCATATTAGCTTCAGGAAACAATAGATTTACCTTCATCTTTGTGTCTGTTGCAGCCAAAGCTGTGGAACACATAGATGTCAGTTCGGGGGCTTCTAGTTTGGTCCATGGTCCACGTGCTTCTTTTTATGAAATGAGGTGTGTCCTTCATTTGATGTTCAAAGCTAATAGACAAAGAAGAGGTACTTCTTGTGCAGAAAACTAGAACTGAAAGCACCTCATTTACTTCTCCAGCAGTGGTTTGCTGGATTCTCATAACCAAAGATCCATAGAGCTATCAAAACATACAACGGAATTCTGCAATATTAATACTTCTTTCTTTTCCTCTGTGCAGACTCTTCATGAGCAACAACAGCAGTTACAAAGACGTCCTGAGAGCAGGGCAAAGGTAACCTTACTCCTCTTCGTATTTAGTCTTGTCTCCAATTTTTTTTTTCAGAAGCCCAAAGCGGTTTCTCCTGAATTGAAACTGCGCAAAAATGCACGTTCTAAAACCAGAAAGAAAAACCTGCAGCAGCTTCTGTGAAAGGAAACCCTTTCCTGACAGTTCACATTGGAGAGGCACTTAAGAGAGGCAGGACTCTGGGCGGGGTTATGTAAATTAATCCAGATTAACATACAGAGGGAACACAGCCAATGAATCATGTTTCGGGGGTTTTTCCGTGGGATTTATTAACAGGAATCTGAGATAATAAGTTTCATGTTCCCCGCAGATGAATTGGAAGCAAGATTTTTGTACAGAAACAGCTATGCTTCTCTAATGTGAAACTTTTGACAAATTTATGATAGCATGTGTTTCTTTAGTGTCTTCCTTGGATTTACTAAAGCAAAATAATTTCTTAAATTGGAAAGGGATGATCTGATCAGTAATGTGCATTTATGTTGCCATAATTGTTAAGAGTGGAAGAAATAAGTTCTCGTTAACAAAATATATATATATAACTCTTTAACCCTTTTGCTGTGATGCTATCAATATTTTTTTCCCCTCAGGATGTAGGTAAGAACAGGACTAGGTTCAACCTTATTAAAATCACATGGCTGGGGGTTGGAAGGATTCCCAGGTTTGATTTATTTTCTGCAGTTCGTCCTGCATGGAGTAGAAACCACACACACACACACACACACACACACACACACACACACACACACACACACACACACACACACACACCATGGAGCTGGTATGCAGTCTGGGTTGCTCCTAGACTTTCGGCTCCTGCTCAAAGAGCAGGTGTTAGGCATGGCTAGGGGATCCTTTACACAACTGCATCTTTGGCCAACTGTGCACATTCCTGGATTGGGAGGCCCTGCTTGTGGTCACTCATGTCTCTTGCCTGGATTATGACATGCTGTACGATAGAGCTACCCCTGAAGACTACTCTGAAGCTGCAACTGCCTCCTAAACCAGATACACAGATATTGATGGACACACCTTGATAGCACCACTATTTTGGAAGCTACACTAGCTCCCAAAAGGCTTCCAGATGCAATTCAAGATGCTGGTTATTTATCTATGAAGTCCTTCATAGCACAGGGCCAGGTGATCGGTAGGTCACCTATATCCAATTATTTTCGCCTGCCCTATAAGTTCTGACAGAATAGGCATGCTCCAGCTCCTGTCTGTTAAATCAGAGTTCCCCAACCTTTCTGGGTTGGTGGCCCGGAAGGAAAGGGAGGAGTAGAGAAATGTGTGTGTGTCCATGCGCATGCACAAATGGGCACGCGCATGGTGACGGCACCAGGATCCATGCACATGCACAAGTGGACTGCACACCCACGGCGGTGCTGATGCTGGTGCCTGCGCGCCCATGCAAGCAGGCCACTAGCACCTGCAAACGGGCCACTAGTGACTGCGTGACACTGGTGGTGGTTCTAGCACTCCCGCGCATGCGCAAATGGGGCCACTAGTGTGAGTGGGGGCCAGCCATTCCCGATACCAGGCCGCGACCCACAGGTTGGAAACCCCTATGTTAAATAACATACTGTGGGGGGTCTGAGGAGGCCTGCTTTTTCTGCCATTGCAACAGACCTCTAGATAGCACTGAAGACTTGGTGTTTATCTCAGGGAGGATGTTGGGGGAGCCGGTATTCAGGTGGCTTATTTAGGTGTATGTGTACACACACGCATGCATGCACCTAAATAAGCCCTCTGTAAAGTGGCTATATGAGGTTCTAGTTCTGTCCTAGGCACAAAGCCAGCTGGGTGAGCTTGGGCTAGTTACTCTCTCTCAGCCCTAGGAAGCAGGCAGTGGCAAGCCACTTCCGAAAATCTTGCCAAGAAAGCTGCAGTGACTAGTCAAGGCAGTCTCCAGGAATCAACACTTAAAGGTATACATACACATTTGTCTAGATATAGGAATGGATGAAGTGTTTTTATATTTGTTCTTGTGACCTTTTGTTTTTAACTAGATGTTAGACACTCAGTGAGTGGGCAGCCATATAAATTTAATAAATAAATAAACCCCAGCTACCATCGTTTCACAGTAGTTTCAACTACACTGCAGACAGAAATAAATCAGCTCAGCTCTCCACTACTACTGACATCATGAGAAATACAATAAGTTGGTTTCAAATTGTCTCAGAATCTTTGAATAGGTGTAAACTTAAGTTAGACAGTTTTCAGCTAAGAGTGTTACTGGAAAGTCTGTATTAGCATAGCAATGCTTCACCTAACTTTTATTTTAGTTAACAAACTAGATTCCACCCTCCCCCCCCAAGCAACCTTGGATTAGCCAGTTGAAATGACATCCATTTATCTGAAGTCAGAAGAAAGCTATCCTAACCAAAAAAAAAATAAAAATGCTACCCTTGAATTACTGATGATTATTTACTGATTACTGATGATGATGACCTATATGGTGGTGTCCTTATTGCTTTGTGTGCAATAAATCAAGGGCCTTGCAGATTCCTCTAGATCTGTTTCCTTTTCATCCCACCAAACATTACATCATTACATGGCATATGGTATCAGAACATTGGTAGGGTAACCACCAATTGCTCTTCTTGAGGTAGGAGGTAGGCTAGGGGAGGAAATAAGTTTTGGTTAGACCCCTGGGTTGAGATACCTGTTAGAACACTGAGCCATAGTTAAAACTAGCCTAATTAGCAGCTAATGAGATTATGAAAGCAGACCTTGCAAGTGGTCCTGTATCTGTCAACTGTGGTTAAGTTCAAGTGGGAGGTTCCTTTTGAAGTTTCAAAAGTGTCCTATACTTGGAACAGCTTTGTTCATACATAGCCGAGTTCATTGAGGCAGTCTGCCATGTCTTGTATCAGATGCATGAAATACTATCCTCTGCTAGCATTATGGTATATCTTATGCCATACCCTTGGGCCCAAAGGGGTGAAAAATACTAACAGTCCTCAGAAACAAATTGCAACCTTAAAAATAATGATTAATATAATCATGGTAAAACTTAGGTGACGCTGAAGTCATAGCAATCTTATGGCAAGAAGCTAAATTAAAATTATTTTCAATATTGGTTTGAGATTAGAGATCCATAAGAAAGAGCTGGGCTACCTAAGCATAAAGATTTTAGAGATGCCAATTAAGTATCTGATTTTCAACACTATATTCATTACTCTTTAATCCGAGCCAGTGAGGTTCACTTATATACGATGAAGGGTACTCTTGTTACCACGTTTGCTCGGTGTAGCTGAGCAAGTTTGCAAAGTAAAAAAAAGGTTTCTTTCACGTTTCTTGTGAAAAGAAGTCCATTAGAAAGGAATGAATTAATAGTCAATCCATAATGTAGGCGCTATCTTTCTAGAACCCTGGCCAGGTATGAGAGAAGAGAAAGAAGAAATAGAAAAGGCATCCATAATTACATCTACACCTTAGGATGTCTTTTAATAAGAATTCCAAATTATAATGATCAATCTCCTGTGAAACTGAAGACTGTCCAAGCAAGCAAGCAGAAACTCAAAGAGTTTCCTAGAGAATTAACATATAATCTGGCTAGAGTGATCAAGGAAATGCTGGAGCAAAACAAAAATTAAAAAATATGTATACGGTGGTGTTATTACCAAATCAGCTACCTTCCTACTTGAATCCAACTTGTTGCACTATTAAAAGTAAACTAGAAGACTTTATTTCATTTTATCAATGTTTATCTTATTTTGTGAGGTATGAAAAAGGATTCCCATATAGGAAAAAGACAGGATTTGTAACCAAATTCCACACTGTTCTTTCTCAGGTTGTTTTGAAAGCATGTTGTATAATTTTAACAGAGTAATTTTCTTCTTACATTTTTTTCCCACCTACCATTTTCTTACAAGTGCAGTGTCCACTTTTTTTCTTTAAATCAACTCAGTGTTGATCTGTTGATTGTGGCAGGAATTGGCATCATGAGCTGAGGGAGACTGGCCCAAAGTCACCCATTTGGCTTTCATGCCTAAAGAAGCACTAGTTGTGCCTTAACCACTAGACCAGGGTGTCAAACTAGCAACGTCACATGATGTGTTGCCACTTTTTTTCCATTGTCGGCAATGGGGTGGGTGCGGTTTTGCCGTGATGCATCTGGCCCATGAGCCAGCAGTTTGACACCCCTGAACTAGACCAAAGTGGCTCTATTGAGTTTTCTTCTTACATCTTATAAATCCTTGAGATTTCCAGTGGCAGTTAAAATGGACTCTGGTGCAGGGTATAATAATAGGAAAGTCAAAATAAATGGGTTCAAGTGAATATTTTGTTCCAGTTTTTAAAAGGTAAAGATTTCCCCTGTCCAGTCGTGTCCAACACTAGGGGGCAGTGCTTATATCTTTTCTGAGCTAAGGGAATCAGCATTGGCTGAAGACACTTCCGTGATTATAAGCCAAGGGGCACAGAATGCTGTTACCGTCTTACCAAAATGGTACCTATTTATCTACTTACATTTGCATGCTTTTGAACTGCTAGGTAGGCACAGTGGTTAGAATGCGGTATTGCAGGCTAATTCTTCCAACTGCCAGCAGTTCTATTCTCACCAGCTCAAGATTGACTCAGCCTTCCATCCTTCTGAGATCGATAAAATGAGGACCCAGGTTGTTGGGGGCAACAGGCTGATCCTGTAAACCACTTAGAGAGGATTGTAAAGCACCATGAAGCGGTATACAAATCTAAGTGCTACTGCTATTGCTATCTTCAGTTAGGAATTATTGTTAATAGCATATTCAATAACCTATTACTTCTAATAGGTTCTAATCTGAGTTACCCTATAATTTTTCTATAGATTTTTGTCAATAAAATCAGAACAACAGAATAACAAACTTGGAAAGGACCTTGGAAATCTTCTATCCAACTTTCTGCTCAAGCCATTTCAGATAAATGGTTGTCCAACTTCCAGTGTTGGAGCATTCTGGAAGCAAGTTGTTCCACTGATTAATTGTTTTAACTATCATGAAATTTGTCCTTAGTTTTAGGTTGCTTCTCCTTGATTAGTTTCCATCCATTACTTCTTGTCCTACCTTCAGGTGTTTTGGTCCAACTTCCTGCTCAAGCAAGAAACCCTTTACCATTTGAGACAGATGGCTGTTCAATCTCTTCTTAAAAACTTCCA